CGATGGGGTAACGATGGGGTGTTGGGGTTATGGGGTGGTGGATGATGGGGTTGTGAGGGATGTGGGGTGATGGGCAATGGGGTCGTGATAGGAATGGGTTGATGGGCGATGCGGTGATGGAGTGGTGGGTGATGGGCAGTGGTGGGTGTCGGGTGATGGGAATGGGGTAATGATGGGGTGTTGGGGTGATTGGGCAGTGGGTGATGGGGTTGTGATGAGTGTGGGGTGATGGGATAGTGGGTGTGGGTGGGTGATGGGGCAGTGGTGGGTGTGGGGTGATGGAGTGATGGGTAATGGGGCAGTGGTGGGTGTGGGGTGATGGGAATGGGGTGATGGGGTAATGATGGGGCATTGGGGTGATGGGGCAGTGGGTGATGGGGTTGTGATGAGTGTGGGGTGATGGGCAATGGGGTGATGGGGCGGTGGGTGATGGGGCTGTAATGGGAATGGGGTGATGGGATGGTGGATGTGGGGTGATGGGCGATGGGGTCGTGATGGTAATGGGGTGATAGGGTGGTGGGCGATGGGGTTGTGATGAGTGTGGGGTGATGGGATGGTGGGTGTGGGGTGATGGAGTGGTGGGTGATGAGGCAGTGGTGGGTGTAGGGTGATGGGGTGATGGGCAATGGTGTCGTGATGGGAATGGGGTGATGGGATGGTGGGTGATGGGGTAATGATGGGGCATTGGGGTGATGGGGCAGTGGGTGATGGGGCTGTAATGGGAATGGGGTGATGGGATGGTGGATGTGGGGTGATGGGCGATGGGATCGTGATGGGAATGGGGTTGTGGGATGGTGGGCGTGGGGTGATGGGCAATGGGATCATGATGGGAATGGGGTGATGGGGTGGTGGGAGATGGGGTTGTGGTGGATGTGGGGTGATGGGGTGATGGGCAGAGGAGAGAAGGAGTGGTGGACAATGGAGTTATGATGGGAAGTGGGGTCATGGAAGTGGGGTCATGGGATGGTGAGTGTGGGGTGAGGCTGGTGATGGTTTCATGATGGGTGTGCGGTGATGGGCAGTAGGGTTGTGATGGGAATAGGCTGATGGGGTGGTGGGTGTGGAGAGATGGGCAACGCGGTCATGATGGGAATGGGATCACGGGGTGGTGAGCAATGGGATGGGGTCATGATCTGTGATGGAGTGATGGGCATTGGGTGGTGGTGGGTGTCAGGTGATGGGGTGATGGGATAGTGATGGGAATGGGGTCATGGGATGGTGGGGGTGGGGTGGTGGGGTGGTGGGGGTGGGGTTGTGATGACTGTGGGGTGATAGGGTAATGGGAATGGGGTAGTGATGGGAGTGGGATTGTGGGTTGGTGAGTAGAGGGATATTGAGTGTGGGCTGATGGGGAGGTGTGGAATTATCATGGTGAGTGCGGGGTCATGAGATGGTGGAAAAATGGGCACGGGGATGTGGGGCGATGGGGACGTGGGGCGATGATGGGATGTTGGGCAGCGGGGCGATGGGCATGGAGTGATGGATGCTGGGTGGTGGCCGTGGGGTCACGGTGGTGGTGGGCACTGACGCTGCCGCCCGCAGTGCCGCCGCTGCCCATCCTGAACCCGGGACCGCCGCTGGAGGAGGGGCAGGGCCGGACGCTGGCGGCCTCGTGCACGGCGGAGGGCAACCCGGTGCCCACAGTGCACTGGGAGACAGAGGTGCGCGGCACCAACACCACGCGGCAGTCCCAGCACGACCATTCGGCCTCCGTCACCAGCGAGTTCTTCGTGGTGCCGGGGCGCAGCATGAATGGGAAGAGCCTGACCTGCGTGGTGTCACATCCGGGGCTGAGCCGCGAGAAGAAGATCACCCACCAGCTGAGCGTCGCCTGTGCGGCACGGGGGACGCCGGGATGTGGGGGCACCGGGGGTCTGTGGGGGGACGTTGGGGACATTGGGACCTTAGGGGATGTGGAGGGTGATGGGGAGTGAGGGCACTGGGGACATGGAGACACTGAGGGACCGTGGAGGGATGCTGGGGACATTGGGACTGTGGAGGGAGTAGAGGGTGCTGGGGGGAGTGGAGGACATTGAGGATGTGGGGACATGGGAGGACTGGGGACGTGGGAGGCAGTGGGAGACCATGGAGGATGCTGGGGACCCTGGGACCGTGAGGGACATGGAGGGCATTGGGGGCAAGGGAACATGGGGGGCATTGGGGTCCGTGGGGGGACGCTGGGGACACTGAGGCCATGGAGGACATGGAGGACATTGGGGATGTGGGAACATGGAGGGACTGGGGACATGGGGACGTAGGGGGGCACAGAGGGACCATGTAGGAAATTGACAAGGGGACCATGGGGGACCTGGAGGGCATTGGGGACACAGGGACATGAGGGGTGCTGGAGGACCGTGGGGAATGTTGGGGACAAAGGGACCATGGGGGACATGGAGAACACTGGGGGAAGTGAGGCGCACTGGGGACATGGAGATGTGGAGAGCACTGGGGATATGGGGACATGGGGGATGCGGGAGTTGCTGGGAGACACTGAGGGCATGGAGACGTTGGAGACAAGGAGATACGGGAGCATGGAGGGCACTGGGGACATGGGGACGTGGGTGTTGTTGAGGAATACGGTGGGCACGGGGAATGTTGGGGACATGGAAGACATTGGGGACATTGGGCTATGGAGATATGGGGACATTAGGAGCATGGGGACATTGGGGACATGGGAGCAGTTGAGGGGCATAGTGGGCATGGGAGATTTGGGGGACACTGGGGACATGGGGACATGGCTTTGTTGAGGGACATGTAGGGCATGGAGGGAATGGGAGACATGGGGGGGCAATGGGGACGTTGGGGATGCAGAAGCCTTGGGAGACCCTGGGGATGTGGGGTCACACAAGGCTGGGGCACGCGTGTCAGGCAGTGTCACCTCATCCCGCCCGTCCCCTGAAGTCCCCACGCTGTCCCCCCAGATTTGTCTGATGCATCGGTGCTGGGGCACACGGAGGAGTGGGCGGAGGGCATGGAGGGGGCTGCGCTCACCTGCCTGGGGGACGGCAACCCCCCGCCCACCTACAACTGGACACGGTGCGGCCCTGTCCCCATCCCCATCCCTGTCCCCTTCCCACCGCATCCCCTGTGCACCCCAACAGCCCCACTGTGTCCCCTTCCCATATTCCTGTTGTGCCCCTTAGTTCCCTTTTCCGCATCCCTGTCTCCTTACTGTTCCCTCACTGTTCCCATGCCTCCTGTCCCTGTCCACAGCCCCATGCTGTTTCCATGTCCTAGTGTCCCCGTCCCTGTCACATCCCCTATCTGTGCCCACATCCCCACGCCTGTGTCAGTGTCCCCCTGTCCACATTCCCTTGTCCCCCATCTCTCTGATTGTCCTCTTGTCGTCTCCATGTGCCGTTGCTGTGCCCATGTCCTCCTGTCCCTATCTGTGTCCCCCATCCCTGTCACATCCCCTCGTCTGCGTCGATGTCCCCCTGTCCGTGTCCCCATCACGTCCTCTTGCTGTTCCCGTGTCCCCTTGTCCGTGTCATCGTCCCCCCCATCCACGTCCCCGTTGTGTCCCACTGCTGTCCCCACTCCCCATCCCCATCCCCTCCCATCCCTCCTCGTCCCACCCGGCTGTGCCGGCGCGGTGCCGGTGCCATCCCCGGCTCAGTGCTGCGCTGCAGGTCTGGCCGTGCCCAGGCAAGCCCTACACCAACCGGTTGTGGGGCGTCACCGCCGTGGGAACGGCGCCGGGCTTTGATGCCGGCAGCAGCGCAGTGCCGCCCGGGCACGTCGTGGCTCACCGTGTGCCCCCGCAGGCTCGACGCCCCGCTGCCCGCCGGCGTGCGGGTGAAGGGGGACACGCTGCTCTTCCAGCGCCCGCTCGCCGCCGCCGATGCCGGGGATTACGTGTGCCGCGTGGCCAACCGTGTGGCTGCCAAGGAGGCGAGGGCCAACGTCAGCATCAAGAGCAGGGCGGCAGGTGGGCGCCTGGGCGGCGCAGTCTGTCCGTCTGTCTGTCGGCGCAGCCTTCCTGCAGCATCCTTTCTGAGGCTGTGCCCCATCTGTCTGTCCCTCTGTTCCTTTCCCTGCAGGTTTTATGTCCATCCCTTCACCCCCCCATCCATCCCCCAGTCCTCCCATCCATCCCCTCATCCACCTCCCGGTCCCCCATCCATCCCCCCATCCAACTCCCCATCCACCCCCATCCATCTTCCCAT